AGCTAAGCCAATCAAAATGCAAGACTGTGGGAGAAGCCAATTAGCAGCCAAGAAAGCGATCTGGACATGTGTTCTAATCCTGGTACGGACCGCTATGGTAGCTGTGAAAATAAGATCACACCGAAAAACATACAAGGAACGCCAGCACTTGTTTCTACCTCACTGGCTGTGTCGTGAGCAAAGGAGAAGCAGTCGGAGTGTTACAGGAACCAGCTTCACGTCTGGGAGAAATCGAGGGATGAGAAAGGGGGCCCAGGCTTGGTTTGGACCCACTGACTTCAATCGGGACAAGTTCCCAAACAGACACTGGAGGGGAGGTGACAGCTGGAGACATACTTCCTAAAATCCTCAGTTATTAAATCAGAACCCCCCATTATGTCCTCAGATACCAGAATTATTATCATGATCTTGCCTATAGGTTTCTACAGTATTATTTGAAACTAGCCAAATTTTAGTCAAAATCATTGAGAAATGATCTTAAAGTATGCTTTCATGGCAAAAACAGTTATCTGCATTTAAGAAGAAGTAACAAATAATGTGAGTAGTCACCTCCTCGTAACAAACAAAACGGAGCGGGAGAATCTGCAGAAAGTTTCATCTGCTCTCTCCTCCCTCTGAAGAAAATGCCAGGCCCTGACTGTCTAGATGGATTTTCTGCATCGATTCACGTATTTACTTTTCCCAGAGACAGTCACACACACACACACACACACACACACACAGCCACTGAAGCTTATCTTCAAGTTTTACCTCAAGCACATTTTCAAATTCCTAAAATCAAATGGAAACACTGATATGACCATAAAAGGAAACCCTAATCTGGCCACAGCAAATATTTGTAAGGGTCAATTTTAGCACACAATTTACACAAATATCCTTCCTAATGGTTAAATTCATATTAACAACATTTGCAAGTATTATTTCCCTTTTTATGGAACTAATCAGTTTTTACCTTTAACTTGCTTTTCAGAAAGGGTTCTTATTTTGAGCTTAAGATATTACATATTGATTCAGCTATCTAACATAAATTTTGGTGTTTTAAGATGTGTTTCTCATTGGGTCCACGGGGATCTGCTTACCTCCTGTTCTCAAATATTTATCCTATGAAACAGAGGAGGTGAACTGTATACCACAACACCAGAAATGACCTCTTCTATCCAGCTGACTAGCTCTGAGTAGAGTTATACCAACTTCACAATGTCTAGCCCAAACTCCTTCTGAGCCAGGCTGTTTCTGACATCTAAGTACTTGGCCAATTGCTTAGAGCAGAGGCTCCATGTTACCAAAATAATTTACTAATACAAAACCAAGATACATCTTAACACAAAATAACATACCACCAAGGATTCCCAAACACAATCCCCTTAGTTTTTTAAAACATGATTTAATTGGACTGACTTCATGAAGGTTTGTTCCTCTTCAGGCCACGAAGAAGTAACCTAACTCACAAGCTGTGTCACACTCTACGGTCACTGAGACCTCAGAGATGTGTGTGACTGTCATATTACAAAGTTATTCAATCATGATCCCTATTATTTTCCCATGATATACTTCTGATGTGTTTGCACGTGCTTAACATATGAGAAAAACCTCTGTAAGATTTATAAAGGCACCAAAATCTATTCAACAGATATTCATGAAAACATTTTATAAATCTCAAAAAAATTTTCCGTAAGTGCTCATCGGGTCATCTAAAATGCAAAGCCTAATCTTGAATAACTACATGCCTTTCAAGAGAACATGGAAAGCAGCCTTTGGAAGCATCTTTAGAAACAATAAGGTAAATATGCCAACTGGAACTAATTGATTAAATCCACTAGTTAACACTGCTTTCAAAATGTACATCTAGGAACTGAATATCATCAGTTTTTAGATTTGCTATTCTGCAGCCTGGCTAACATTGCCTTAAAATGTCAACTAGAAATACAAAAGTGGAAACGAAGAAAAAAGTATATACGTACTTTAGGTTATCTACCCTGGACTTTTTCTTTTTTAGAACTCATTTGATAATTTCTTTTGTGAAGCAAAGAAATATGGGTGTCACAGGCTCCTTTAAATGACCTTTAGAGAAATAAATGATTGTGGGCAATGTTGATGAGGCTTTCCTTACAACAGGGCACCATGAGCTGTGAAACACTGATACAAGAATGCATTCAACATCAGCCAATAAAACATCTCCTGCCTCAAATTTATTTTATACTCCCAGTTAATGGAGGGCAGGAAACAAACATATTTAAAGCATACCCTAAGAAAAGAAAGTTCTACAATGAACTATCACTACATGCAAAAAGAACTGTGTATAACAAAGCTACTTGCATGTCCCCAGGGGGTGACCCAGAAAAAAAGAGTGCTCTGACCTGGTTATAACAAATTCTCTCTCTGGTGGTAACCTATCTTGGTCTTTAACAAATTATCACTCTCAAAGGTTTTCCTTCTATCAAATCAAAATCCTTACTGTTAGAAGTTCAAGTTCATTTCCTTCTTTTGAGGGGCCCCTTAATGAAAATGGGTCAAGAAGGAAAAATTAATGTCAAAACAAATGACGATATGAAACTAGGCTAATTATGAGATTTTTAAAATTGCTCTAGTATGAAACTTAAAAACAGCAAGCTATATTCCAGTAATCAACTTCCATTTCTTATCTAAACAGCAAGCCAATCTCAATTTAAAACTCAAAGAAAGCATTTTCACTATTTGGAGCCTCAGGTAACAAAGGAAATATTTAGTACTTAGATCTGAAGTGTTTCTACTTTTCTTCTAGATAGCCCAATTCAGCCTGCCTGAAAACTTGTAAAGCAATCTGACATTATATAAATCCCAAACAGAGGATGATCAGCCTGTTTATCTGAATCATGAATCAGGCCCAGCTCTCACTGTATTTGGTTTGTGTAAATTTTTTAGTGACTTTATCAATGACCTAGTCCCCTATGAAACAGCAGGCCACAGTTACTCCTATTAAAAATTTAAAACCAAGGGCTGCAAGCTCAAAAGAAATCCACATTCCAACGACTTCTCAAAGGCAATGAAAAAGGCTTGAAGATGTTCATTGTTTTTCCAAAATCTCTTTAAACTTTCCTTCATGACATTCTATTACCCACTTTAAACTCTGCTTCCTATTTTTCTCCACCTCTGGTCTACCCTGCCCTATACCATAGCAAGACAGAATACTTTTTGATTCTTGCTGTCTCCTGATCTCTTTTCTCCTAAGACAGCAGGCGTCTAGTCAGTTTCACTGATAGCTTCTTAACAGAACACAGGTGTTCGGGCAGCAAAAACGCGGAGGACAGCGCCAGCACACACCCTGCACCCCTCAGGGTGGAGTCGTGTGCATTATCCTTAGCTTAAGCAAATCAGCACCCTACAGGGTCAAGACTGATAAAAAAACATGCAAAAGCACCCAGAGACAACAATCAAGTCCAGTGTAACTGGCAGTTCTAGAAACACAGATAACTTCCCACACACAACACACTCGTGTATGAGTTTCAATACTTTCACAGAAACTATGTCATGTGAACCAAGGTTAAAAAGATATATACATGGATAGAATTCATCCTCAAATGAAACCACCTCTATACTCTTTTGCCAGAACTGTTACTGGTGTTGGGGTTCTCAGGTTCCTGGCCACTCAGTATTTTCTATTCTCGGGCCCAAGTTCTCACGCTGTCCCAGAAGTATAAACACATTTACCAAAGAAATACAACTTTTGATAGCTCCTCATATATGTACCAAATAGAGGCAGGACAAAATATCCAAGCCTTATTTGAAAATTAATCCCAATTCATTGCAAAGATACACTCGTCACTTTCTTAACGTTTAAAAAAATAAGCTGATCAGTCTTTTAAAAAGTAGAAGGAACTCAGAGCTGACCAGTGTTATGAAAGTCACCGTTGAAAACAAACAGGCCAGTACATGGACAAAGAGCTCGCGCAGCCTTTACACACAGAAGTATCAAACAAACACTGTAAGAAATACTTAATTGTACTGCTACAACTCCCTCTGAAAATAAATGTGGATATTCTATATATATATATATCACTGGCTTTACCCTATAATGATGTGTTTTATAAATTCAGCCTTGACTTCCAGATGAACTTTTCATAACCACAGTTGTATGAGTTTTAAAATCATTTAGTTAGGTTTGACGGTGTGCACGGGTTCAACAGTCAGCTGCAGAGACGGAGCTTTCATCCGCACGCGAGTCAATGCCGAGCCTCGTGCACCACTGCAGAGTGCAGCTGAGTGTTTTCCCCACAGGCTGCAACTGAGTATTGACTCCCCCATTAACATGTATGGTGCATATTGAGGGTTCAAGCAGGAGGCTGATGGACCCCTCTCCCAAGGCCAGTGCTGAAAGACAGCCTATCACTTTGTGTAACCGCAGTCCATGTGTGACAAACCTGACCTACATTTCTCCCTTTGTTTCTCACAAGAGCTTGTCACTGTTTAAAGAAGCTATTTTCTGAAATGCATAAAAGAACTGACTTACAAAACTGCTTGGGAAATGTTCATTCCTAAAATACCATTTATAGGAGTCTTATAAGAACTACTTTATTCAAGAGATAATCATGAAACCTAGCTTAAAACAAGCTCAGAGACCAGAATGCTTTCTGTTACCTCATATGGTAGCTTCCTTCACACTGTCATTTATAGCCTTAAAAGTGCTCTAATTAAAATTTTAATCGGTACATAATTAAATTTAATAAGTTTTTAAACATACAAAACACAGTAATTAGGGATGTTTAATTAAACATTTTCCATTAGTTATAAAAGTAGCTTTCGCAGCTTCGCAAGAAGCCGTATCTTAGTAGTTTTGTTAACTTCTCGGTGGATACACAGTAATCACTACTAAGAATAGGGCGTAATTAAAAACAATGGTGGGGGTAGTGAAGAAGGCAGTAACAACGAGGTGCAAATGCTGGAAAACGCTCCCCAGGGATGGCCGCACACTGTGCTCCAGAGAAGGTGCCCGCACGCCGGGGCTCTTCACCACAAGCACCTACCATGCCGCTGCAGGTCATACTCTTGTTTCGTCTCTTCATTCCCTAGAATTTTCCACGCCTGATCAATCTCGATGAACTTCTGTATACATTCCTCCACTGTTCCTGCTGGCACATCTGCACTTTGTTTATCCGGATGATACTGCCAGTCAAAAATAAGGAGGATGGTGAAAACACAGGGTTAAGTGGGGGTAGGTTTAAAGAAATTGTAAATCTGAGCTTTACTTGAGAGAGAAAGAAGGTAACGAGAAGACAAAGCTGAGATGCCAAGGCAACGAGACAACAGCGCTGGGCACAGGAGACAACTTGCCAGGGTAATTAGACCACTGGAGTAGCGGTGACTCCACCAGTGACACGACCTGTCACAACGTGCAAAGGCAGCGTTTTCTGGATAATTTGCTGATGGATGGAATCACTGGTCTCACGGACAATTTACCTACAGAGGGTGACTCACACAAACATAAATGAGCACCTTCGGATGAACAGGACCTGACAAAGGAGGAATGCAGCCACGCCGAGAACGAGGCGTCCTTGCATCCAGTGTGCACGGCCACCAACACCACCTGGGACGGAGGGCTGGCCTTTCCCACGGAACCGGATCGCACAGTCGTACTTAAAGAACGCTCTTCATCTTCTAGCCCAGCCCTGAAGATTTTAAAGTTGTAAGTCCCCACATATCCATTTTTATTGAAAAATGGATACTCTAGGACAGATTCATAAGAACTTTAAAAAATGCAGTGAGACATATGAATGTGAATTAATTCATTAGTAAATCTTCCTTACATGTGTTTACTAAGAATATTTTCAGAATGTTTTCAACAGGCAGTAATCTCTGTACACTCTTTGGTCAAAACCTGAAAGTCATATGTCAATTAAGTTCTCAAATGATTAGGTGGATGTGGCTTACCTCACTTACTCACCCCCTTTTCCTCCCGCCCCTTTTCACTGTCAGTTCTTCTGAAAGAATAAATATGACGTTTGGAACAACTAGCAGATGTTGAGATATGTAATTTTTTGCTCTCAGGTAAATAAGGGCCCCCCTTGCTCGTATTTACCCAGCATTTTCAACCAGCAATTACTCCCAATGGTTTATCTAATATATTACACAGAACAGGTTTTAATTTTAAAAGTTATCTTTGGTATTTCCTTTGAACTAACAGCAGGTTTTTTTCCCTTTAGTTCTTACACTTTTTGTAATAAAACAGCCAAGTGGACATTTGCACATTTCATGACACTAATGCAGTTATTTCACGTACTCATCAAACAATGATATAATCATTTAAATTCTTCCATTGATTGCATTATAGACATTAAAAGAACATGAAAAATTTATAAGTACCATGCAATTTATTATCCAAGTTGCAAAAACCAAAACCCTACAGTAAGTTGTGGCAGGTAACATGAAGTCAAATGACTTTAATTCTCAATGCAGAATTCAGGAAGTCTATAAGTTTTTAATCAAGTGTTGACTACTGGCTTTCCCAGTAATTCGTCTTCATGCTGAACTTCTTCACACTGCTCACATCCTCAACTAGCAGAGCAGAGGCAGCTGTGCTCTCTGGTTGCACAGAAGAGCTAATGAACATCATGCACGGTGGGAGGAAGGTTACAGGACAAAGGGAATGAGGCTTCCACTTCCCTTTGGAAAATTCTCTTCCTATGCCAAACCGCTCAGTTATCAACATTTAAATATTTAAGCTAGTTAATATAATGACTGAGGAAAAGAAAATTACAGCTTTTAAAAAAATCTTTTTTGGCTATAATTGATGCTCACAAAAATTATTCTCATACTGAGGTTCAGGCAATCCCTAAAGCTACTATCGAAATAATATCCAAAAGCCAAAATAGAGTTGGCTACTTTAAATTTCTCTAGATGATCCATTCCTCTAATACTACGTGGAGATCTGTGCAGCATGCTTGCTATGAATCAATGTTGTTACATGTAACATGCTCAAATACACCATTAGAATACATTAAGAATACATAACATAAATGAATAGTATACATTTTCACATACACTTATATGTGAAAACTCAATGTCACTATGTCACAAGCACTGAGGAAGACCCCAGAGAAATCATTCTAAACTAGGAGCTCTACAGTAGAAGCAGAGACTAAGAGTGCCTACAGGTAATGTCTCCTTGGAACAACGAATAGGACACATTGGCCTGACCAAGCACCAACCAGACTGAGCAAGTGCTACGAAACCAAGACTGCCCCAAACTGAAGCAGTGCCATGGAGTCGAAGCACAATTCAATCAGTCTTGTTCACCAATGTGGTGTTTTCCTGACGGGTATTTCAATTAAGTAGCTCGGCATCTGAGGCTTTTAGGTCAATTCTGTTGTGCTTTTAGAATGCAATACATTTTATTCCCTGGTATAGGGTTCAACTAAAAAGTGGTGGTTACTGCAAGAAAATAAGTATGTCATTTGGGGTGCTAAAAGCCACAGTCCACTCTGTTTTGACAGCAAGTTCCAGAACAAAATGAAGGTCTAAAAAACAAAACAACAAAAACCCCCTAAAACACATTCTGTGGTAGGCTGATAATAGCCCCCCAAAATATCAGGTCTTAATTCCTGGTACCTGTAAATGTTATCTTATTTGGAAAGAAGGTTTTTATAGACATGATTAAGTTAAATATATTGACATAGAAAAACTACCCAGGTGGGATAAATACGAACTATTCTTATAAGAAAGAGGCAGAGGGAGATCTCTCTCTGCACAGTCTTCACATCACTTTCTCCTCTTGGCACATAGAGGAGAAGGCGATGTGAGGACTGCGTAGAGAGATTTGAAATACTCAACTTAAAGACTGGAATAATCAGGCCGCAAGCCAAGGACCACAGGCAGCCACTAGAAGCTGGAAGAGACAAGAAATGGACTCCCCTCTGGAGCTCCTGGAGGAAGTGCAGCCCAGCCCACACTTTGATTTCAGCCCAGTTACACTGATTTCAAACTTCCAGCCTCCAGAATTGTGAAAGAATAAATCTCTGTTGCTTTAAGCCACTGAGTCTACAATCATTTATTTCAGCAGCCACAAGAAATTATATAAAGTCTAAAGATGTGTATGGTTTAAAACTGGAATGCAACAGACACTACAAGTTTTTTAGATGTTTCATTTACAAGGTCCATTAATAACATGGTGCTATACACATTCTTGACTTGAAAATCTGCAGTGATTCTTTATTGAACATGAGAAACAAAACTGCTAAGACTAGGTTTCAAGATTTCCAAATCCCAAAGTAAATGTTAATTCCTTTCCTGCTATTTCTGTACCTGAACCCTCCAACGGGAGGCAGGCTCACGCACTCACTATTACTCAACAAGACCAAAGTCACTTTCCTCTGGTTGTCAAGGCTTATTTTACTCTTGCCCTTCTTTTTCTTTGATCCCTACTAACCAAACCTCCCCACCATTGAGAGCCCAAAGCTATTCCTACTTCTTTCACTCATGGATCAAATGAAAGATAAATTCTAAAGCATCCTGTATTCTAGTAACAGCCACAAAAAGAGAGCATGGACTTCCTTATATTAGAAAAATGCTGGCAAAATTATACAAATGACAGAGTTCTCAGAAAAACACTCACTAATCAATCAAGCAGAGAAAATACCCACAGTCTTTTTAAGAACTTACCAGTGACGATAGTGTTAAGGAAAAAAAAAAAAACATTTTGAAATGAACCAAATGGACAATGTGTAAGATTTCTACACTGAAAACAACATTAACACCGCTCAGAGAAATCAGAGAAGACCTATGCAAATGTAAAGAAATAATATATTTCTGGATGGAAAGATCATGTCAATATTCTGTAAACTGATACATAAATTTAATGCTCCTATCAAAATTCCAGTGGACTTCTTTTAAGTATACAAGATGATTATGATATTTATGCAAATCTAGAACAAGCAAAACAACCTTGAAAAATAACAAAGTTAAAAGAACCTAGATTACCTATTTCAAGACTTATTAAAGCTACAGTATTCAAGACAGTATTGATACAAGTATGTACAAAAAGATCACTGAAATAGAATAAGGAGTCTAGAAATAGACCATACATATGTGGTCAATTCATTTTTTAAAGTATATTTTATTGGTTGTTATTATCGTTGTCCCAATTTTTCCCCCTTTGGCCCCCTCTGCCTGTCACCATCTTTCCCTCAAGAAATTCCCTTCTTTTAGTTTCTGTCCATGGATCATGCATACAAGTTCTCTGGCTACTCCATTTCCTATACTATTCTTAACATTCCCCTGTCTATTTTGTACCTATCAATTAAGACTTTTTAATCCCTGCACCCTTTCCCCCTCCCAGCTGGTAACCCTGCAAACAATCTCCATATCTATGATTCTATTCCTGTTCCTTTTGCATGCTTAGTTTGTTTGCTTTTTAAAACTCAGTTGTTGATATTTGTGAGTTTGTTGTCATTTTACTGTATTTTTGATCATCTTTTTCATAAATATGTCCCTTTAACATTTCATATAATAAGGGCTTGGTGATAACCTCCTTTAAATTTACCTTATCTGGGGAGTACTTTATCTGCCTTTCCATTGGAAATGATAGCTTTGCTGGCTAGAGTAATCTAGGTTGTAGGTTCTTGCTTTTCATCACTATGAATACTTCTGGCCAGTTCCTTCTGGCCTGCAACATTTCTTTTGAGAAATCAGCTGATAGTCTTATGGGAACTCCTTTGTAGGTAACTATCTGCTTTTCTCTTGCTGCTTTTAAGATTTTCTCTTTATCTTTCACCTTTAGCATTTTCATTATGATGTATCTTGGTGTGGTCTTCTTTGAGTCCAACTTGTTTGGGACTCTTTGTCCTGAACTTGTTTATCTATTTACTTTGTCATATTAAGGAAGTTTTCTTCCATTGATTTTTCAAGTAAGTTTTAAATTTCTTGGCTCTTCTTCTTCTGACATCCCTATGATTCGGATTGTTGGCACATCTGGAGATGTCCCAGAGTCTTCTCATACTATCCTTATTTTTTTGAATTCTTGTTCCTTCTTCCTGTTGTGGTTGAATGTTTATTTCTTCCTTATGTTTCAAACTGTTGATTTCAATCCCAGCTTCCTTCCCTTCACCATTGGTTCCCTGTAGTTTTTTCTTTATTTCACTCAGTGTAACCTTCATTTCTTCCTTTATGTC